AACTTTACGGTTAATTTCGGTTAAATCATTACTACAGATAATAATTGATCGGATCGGACAAAAACCATTAAAACCTGTGATTGTTTTTCACCGTTAAAAAATTATGGCACGATTTTTTATCTGTACTCAAAAACTTGTATCTAATGTTCGGAAATATATTTTTACAAAATCTCATCATACCAGATATTGTCCTTACTACAAAATATACAATCTATTGGTCCAAATTTGGTATCTGTTAAAATTTTACTAATTAAAAATATATTTAAACTTAAAAATATAAACAAAACAAAAAATAACCTAAAAAAAATTAAGTACCACATTCAATAGACTAAGTTTAACTATTTTTATTAAGTAGAAATGAAATAGGAATGTTTATTTAAGTCTGTTATTTAGTATAAAGTACTTATTGAATTATAATTCAATTTTATTTACTTATTAGTAAGCAAATCTTATTAATTTTCGTCTACGTAAACTAAATTAAAATTTCACTTAGACAAACATTTCTTAGCAACATGGCACTAAATACAACTTTCTTAGCGAATACTTCAGTTAGCAAATATCGACTGATCTTAAATCATTATTAGTATGAATTTTACTAAATAAAACGAGACAATGACAATAAAATAGAGAATATAAAAATAAAAATCTATTGTTTGCTTTGATATAATTCCTAAGTATTTTAAATCATGTATACAAATATAACGGAATATGATCAGTTTGTAAAAAAAAAAACTGTATCTAGGGACGGAAATTTTCACAACATTATTATAAAAAGTTTAGCACCCATTAATAAATAATTGTTTTAACACTTTTCACAGTTCATAGAAGTAAATCATGGAAATGATTTTTTTTTTTCACAACATTACAGTCCAAATGTGACCAGATGTATACAATAAAAAAAAACTAAACATCTGTCAAAATATGACAGTTGTGCGTCACGTATAGACAACCCTATCTGTGCTGTATTATCTATGCTTAACAGTGTTGCCAATGCTACGGAAATTGCCGGGTTCTACGGCTTTCGGGCCACAACCCTAACGCAGTAGCAGATTCTACGGCTTTTCGAAAATCTACAATTCTTTGATTTTCTATTATAAATTTATTAAAAGCTTTTGAACGAATAATAAAAATTGCATTGGTTAACAATGATCTGTACCACATAATGAAATTCAAATAAATTATTTACGATTTTATAAAACAAAGGAGGGACAAATTTAACTCAATTTATTGCAATTAAAACGTTATAATAGCGACATTAGCTAATGTTAAAAAGTTTAACTTTTTTACTCCTGGTCCTACGACCTACCAGTAATCTTTTCTCATACAACACGGCTTCTTTGACCGACTTCCCAAAAGAAGGACTCACTTCGACTGTATGTTTTTTTCATTACACGATGTACATGGACGGGTAAATTTTTTCATTCGCAACACTGAAGCTTAATCTTGTTTGTCAAAGTAAATGTATGTCAGAGGTTACCTTGTGCGCGAGCGAGCGCGGCGGGCTCGGGCGCGTGCGCCAGCCGCACCAGCGAGCGAGGACCCTCCAGCACAAAGATCTCATCCTTGTTCACGGACACGGACAATATTCTGAAACAAACTTTATCAGATGAAACTCGAGAGCGTTGGCGCTCAGGGGTTTGAGCACTTGACTTGGAATCTACAGGTCTTGGGTTCGAATCCCGTCGTATTAATGTGATTTTTCATTTTCGAATTTTATATGAACATAATTTACCAGAGTTCTTAACACTTGGTGTGCGGGCACGTCTTTTTACGTATATGCAGTATGTCGCTGAAGCGCGGGTCACGTTAAAATATGTATTTAGAACGTGATAAATATAGTAGTTTTGGATTCACTGTGATATTTCTGGAGAACCATATTTCCCCGTGATTTACTGAAAAAACACACGTTGTACATTTACTTCGCTGCGAAGTATTCCCGCATGCTAAGTGTTAGTAGGCGCCGAGCCCCTCAGTGAGGACATGAGCTGGTGATGATGTCACTTGTCATAGTAAGCAGAGGCACTGACCGTCTGAGATCATCCACGACGGCGAC